AAGGAGGGGGGAGATGAACATCTGCTGACCCCAGCCAGCCATGCCATTTAACTGAGCAAGCTCCTCAGGAACATTAGGCAAATTGAGAACCTGGTCAACTTAGAAAATTGGGTAATGTGACACACTACTGAACATCTCTTCTGCGGCACAAACCCAGAAAATCATAGGGCACATAGCACACTGTTTAGATCACACAGACTCTCCCCTAAGGCTAATGAAAAAGAGGGGGGAAGCACAGCACAGCACATTTTGGAGATGCAACTAGTGAAGGAGAAAAAAAAATCTCTAAAGACAATTGCTTAATACATTTGTAATCCTGTAGGCCTAACCTCAGCCTCCAAGTTGCACCACAGCCATCACAACTTCTCTGGTTTAGACAATGCTAAAATTTCATCTGAACGCAGCTGTAAAAGCAGAACAGCTTTACGGCAAATCCACTATAGGCCTCTGAGCTTGTGTGTTCCTCATCGATTATCTTGTTTGTTTATTTCTCATCTCAGAATGAAAAATGTGATCATTAAATTACTATGCCCAAGCAGAATCACCTTCAGGGAAGCCACAATTAATAAGTATATCTTTCAGCTGGACTTTTGCTTCCCAAGTCATTCTAAGCGTAGCCATGCTGAGTCTTTTGTGTTCACAAAATCTTTTTTCTGCTTCTTCACCACCCATTCTAAAAAACAAACAGAGTGAATTAGAAGCCTGTTCAAGAAAAGGGAAAGTGCGACAGTCTGGCTGTCACAGCATCCATTGACATACCTAGTCTGGTCACAAAACTGCTCACCCTGTGTTACCCATAACTTCTCATCAAACTTTGTGCCAAGACAATATACCTTGCATCATCCCAGGCTTGGAAGACGGAGAGCAAAGCAACATGATCTGAAAACCTGTTCCCAGCAAAATTCCTATGGACATAACCCAGGCGTTTGCCTTCATTGATGAAAGGTTCAGGGAAACAGGTGGCTGCAGAGATGGTACAAATAGCATCTCCCACACTGAAAGAAACCACAAAAGGTATCGGGATTTGGTTTATTCACAGTACTGCTGCCAGCAGCTGCTACAGACTGTTGATACTAGTAAAAGCTTCTCCGCTAGAGACCTTACTAATTCGGTCCTTATCTACCAGCGCTCGTCATAGAAAACACTTCCCTGGAAGTGGATGTTAAATTATCTCCAATTCCAGTACTTTCACAATAGCAAGTGTTTACAAGCCCTTTGTCTATCTTCCCTCCCCTGCCCACCATCCCTACACCATCTTCTTCTGGTGAAGAGGACCCTACAGCCATCACAATTACAAATAACAGATCTTTACTTCTGCTAAAGAAAAACATGTGGCTTCATTTTTCTTCTCATCTAGGCGTCAGATTTCACATCTCCCCACATCTAGCTCACCACTATACTTAAGTATTTAGAGTCCCACTCTTAATTCATAAGTATTCAGCCTCTACTGGTCCCTTGCAGTTAACTCTGAATTTCATGACTACTTTATTGCCTATACTGTAAGTTATTTACCCTCTGCTCTCATGAAAATTCAGTTTCCTATCCCCAATTGTAACCTATATTGCTCATCTAGATTTATTGTTTTTTTCTCTTGTAGAGTGCATGTCTAGAGGCTCAGGAACTCAAAAGACAAATAAAAGACCACTGAGACCAGCTAAACTTACTAAAAAATACAACCCATTATCATCATCTTGCCAAGACGAGGTTCAATGGGAAGTTTGGCGAGGATTCTTCCAAGAGGTGTCAACTCATCATTGGAATCCAGGGCATCAAGCTCTGAAAAAAGATCTCTTATTATCAAAGACTATTAGCTAATCCCAGAAATCCTTAGATAAGAAATTCAGAATTTCAATAATTGTGTTTAAATAGAATCCTACCTGTATTTAAGTTTAGTGTGGTTTACAATATTGCCAATCTGATTTCCAAAACTGGTCTGAGGTCAAATAAACAAATTCTACTTCAGCTTTACAGATGTTTTACTACCTCCTCCACAATTAAAATAATTACTATTTAATTCAAATATTTGAATTAAATAATTCTAAATAAAACTATTTATTTTCCATTGCTTCTGTACAAACCACTGTCACACTATTAATTTTTTTTAAAGTCTTTGTATTTGATCTAATTAATCAAACCTAATTTCTGACCCACAAAAATCAAAGCAGCCCTATCATAGCCAACTGCAGAGTCTTCATTGTCATTGCCAAATCACAGAACCCACTGTTCAAAAAGAGAACACCACAAACTCTCTCTTCCACGAGGCTTTGCCTGCCTTTCTCTCCTTCCATTACCTAAAAATTGTCACCTGAGATCATCCTCAAAGCTATCAAACCACTGTCAACAATAAAGTCAAACAAGTGTCTTTGGCTGTTTGCTGTACAGCCTGCAGGGTCTCATGAGTCTCCTTACCTTTCTAGCCATTTGACTATAACCATTAAACTCTACTTCATAAAACTGTTTTTAAGTTTGCAAACAAAGAAAAACCATACAAGTGTGATCTTTCAAAAACCTTTTAAGATATAAATGAAAAATGCAAACTTACAGTTCACATACTCTATTCGCAGACTACTTTGGGAAACTTCAGTGTAACTAAAGGCTTTACATTTAAAAAAAAAGTTTTAGTAGCCTCAGCAATTAAATGGGAAAGTGATGAAATAAAGGGAGTCCTTAGCCAGTATCAAATCCATTTTTCTTGGTACCTATTGAACTCAAAAGCCCAAAGAACATTTCAAAGAATAGCATGTCTCACCATCCTAAAAACATCCTGGTAATACACATGCACTGAAAAGTCACAGATCATCCAGGAAATTAAAGCATGTGTCTATTTGGTGTTAAAGCTGAAAACGTTTGCCTTTTCCCCTGGCTTTGTGTTTCTTATGTGCAGTGTAAGAAAAGCACTAACAATTTTTAGATCAGAAAGTCATTAAACCTGAATACACATCCCTAGCTATGTTTTTCATTCTGGTCTCCCTTCTGTATACAAGTAAGCTAGGCTCGTCACACAATTTTTTCATAAAAGCAATAATCAAAGAGATATTTCCGTTCTTGGGAATTTTAAGAAGTGCTTAGTGACATTTGCAAAGCATGCTGAGGTTCAAGATCACTGCTTTATATCTAAAGCATAATTTTAAGCAGGTTCCTCCCTGCTTCATTTCACTCATACTCTAGTTAGTTCCTTGAAGAAACTACTACTGGGAATACAAATTAACCCCCATCTCAGTTTCTCCTGTTTTAGAAGGATACTGATGCTTCCATATTCATAAACTGGAGATTTAATTACTTGACAAAATACTGAGATCTTGGGTCACCAAACCGTACAAAGCTGTAATTATACAATAAACTACTAACCTCTCTTTTTCATTACTTCCACAGTAGTTTTGTAACTGCCTTAGGCACTGGACTGAGTCTGTGTCATACACAGCAGTGCCACAGCTGGAAAACAGGAAGCTGGAAGCTAGAGTAAGTTACTGCTAAAATAACAAAACAAGCCTTAAGTTTGAAGGCTCAAGTTTCTTAAAGGAATGACACTCCAGTTGGGAATTCAAGTATTTCTTCAGCTGTAAAAGACACTGCCACCCACACGACACATCCAGGAAACACTACTGTTTCAGACAGCATGCTACTACACAAACAATCTAACTATCTGCTTTAACATCCCTGGTTAAGTGGGAAATCACTTGCAGTCAGCTTCATTAACGTACAGTCTTGTGGACAAATAACAATACCTCTTAGTGTGCGTTCTGCTTCAATCACTGCATCCAAAGGTGGTGGTTCTACTGCTTTGGACAAAAATTGACCAATTCCTCCCAGCCGCAGCAATTTGATGCTCAAAGCAATTTCATGAAGTGGTGTTCGAAACATTTCGGGCGTCATATGAGTTTGAAGTCTGGGATGAGAAGAGAACAAAAAAGCCCACATTTTTCTGAACATAGGCTTTAATCACCATCACGGGTCATTCCATCAGCATAAACTACCGCCCTGCCAAGCAAATGCTGCCTCCCAGCCAACCCTCAACTCTCTTTGAGCTACTGTAACCTAGGCTTTTCTACCAGTTCTTCCGTTCTTCTCAATTCTCATGTCAGGGTAAATTTACAACGGAAACACACCAAGGGTATAGCCCTCACATCACAACCACTCAGTGTGGTTTCTAGCATAAGCTGACCATGTAGAGAGTCTGCATGGCTGAAGCCCCCGATTCGCAGTATGGCTGTGTCCAGGCCCACGCTTGCCCAATCATCTCCTACATTGCCAAGCAAGGTCTTCCATGCCCGAGACAGACAACCCGCTTTCAGCCTGCCTTATGTACAAGCACCCCCCTACTTGTCCTTCTACCAGCTGTAAATCATTCAACTCCTCAAAAAAACTGCTTTGATCACTAAGAAAAGTATTTTTGCGGGATGTTTTCCAAAGGTGTTTTTCTGATAGGAAAAAGACCTGATGGAAACAGATAGATCTCTTAAGTCTTTAGCACAGTATTGTTAGTGATCCTTTAGCTTGCTGATTGAAATATGAACTCCTAGGAATCACTGCACTGAGCAACAGACAGCTAGAAAAGGTTTCAAAATACCAGATTCAGCCGGCACCAGATTTAGATCTTAGAAGCATAGGATGAGTTGAGCTGGAAGGGACCTTAAAGACCATCTAGTTC